ACCCTGACGACTCTCCTCTATATCTATGTTCATAATCTGCGCATTCACATCCGGCTCGTATTACCGAATCCGCTGCACTTACTTACTGGAAAAGATTTCTTAGGTTGTGGTTAAACGCATCTTTAATTGCATCTGAATTGAAATCTGTCGACGCGTGGATAAAGAGATCGTAAAGGAATCATTCCTGACATCGATTACTTTTTGCAGTGATGGAGCTTGCTAGTCTAACAGCACATAATCTTTTGGTACTGTGCAACAACAATGCCAGAAGAACTAAACGAAGATGCCACAAAGACTCAGGTAAAATACGTGGGAAATCAGCTTTTAGAGCGACAGATGGATATTCATTCTGTAGAATGTCATAGAAGTCACGAACTATGGTTCGGATAGACCGTAGAAATTGGTGTCCAGACTGTCAACTAATACAGACAACCCTACCTACGTCTGGCCTGCACTAGTCTAGATCAGTTTGAACTGCGTATGTGATCTCAGAAATTGAGAATGTTGAAGCAAGCGTAACAGTCCCCATTTATTCCCATCAATTAGTTTGTACTTGGGTCTGTGTTAGCGCCCGGCTACGATTTCTATAGCATAGGGAATGAATAAGACTACGTTCACTAGTTTTTGGAACTCAACTGCAAATAATTGTTATTTGATTGTTTCAGCTCGATTTTCAATATATGTAGAACGTTTTAACGGTTGTTTGTAGTTTGAGTAAGTGTCATATTTCAATCGACAATCGAATAATATTTATTTGCATAATTTGACGCTTACTAAAACAGATTTAAGTAGTCAAGTTACATCTACTTCAAAATTATATTCTTCATTTTATGATAATTGTAAACATATTCACATGTAAATTGCAAATTAGACTGCTTTCAGATACTTTCTTAGAAATGATTAGTCACAATTAAAAACTTCACTCGTGTATTTAAAAACAATGTATTTCAATTTCACTCTTCACTATGACATCCAGTCTGTTTAGTTAACTGTTCACTTACTATCATCTCTTTTCTAGTTCTTACTGTGCCCCAAAATATCGTAACAGTGCTCACTAGTGACTAGCTTCGTGAGGAAATTCTCGGAGTTCTAGTTGAGAAGACGTGACCAGTGGAGTTGGAGTTCAACCCTGTCGGGTGTAGGCAGTAACTACCAAAGACAAATGGGTGAGGTCGCGCAAAATCCGTAGATCAATCAGAGTTAGACATTAACACAATAGGATGCCGGCCCAGTGGTCCGATGGTGAGGCGTTCGCCTACAATTCCAAAGGTCCCAGGTTCGAATCCTGCGAGGAGCAGGAGTCGTGGATGCGCACTGCCGAGGAGTCCCATATCAGGACGAAACGGCCGTCCAGTGCTTCCCGGTTTCTAATGGTGGTCTAACAATGATTGATTGATGATTTCAAATGTGTAAAAACACAAAATCTCCAAAACTGTGCCCCAAAATATCCTAGTTCTTACTGTTAAGTTTATGAAAATAGTTTCAATTTACTCCGTGGTATTATCATGATTACGAAAGTTGTTTCTACTCAGAATTCTAATTACAATTTTTTTCATTGAAATCACGAATCGATCATTGTTAGACCATCATTACAACGTTTTTAATTAGTTTGGAACTTATCAGAAGTTTGAATCCCCGATCCTCGCACGCGGTAACCCTAAATATAGACCTTGGGTATCGAGCGCGAACTCCTAAAGTCCAGGCCACTGTCCCGGAATCGAAGACTTTTCTTAATTAAAAATATAATTCATTTCAATTTTTTTTGTGAATAGATTTTGTCATCGTTTAGAAAAAACCTGTATCAATACCATAGAATCAGGGAAAATGACAAAAGATTTAGCTATTTGTATTCATGGCCCAGAAAATCTAAAACCTGAACATTATTTAACAACAATGGATTTTTTCGACGCCATTATTGATCAATTGAAACGAATCAATTATTATTTATTTTTAATTTTAAAAAAAAACGCGATTTATCAAATATATATATTTTTGTGTATAAATGTAAATTTGTGAAAAAACATTCAATTATTCTTATTAACCATTTTTCTTGTTTAAATGTACTACTCTTTTTCTTCAATGATCAATGTTTCTCGGTTTTTTTTATGATATTCAATTAAAAATATTTTGATAAATTAAATGCTTCATTAATGAATAGACTTTAGATTTATTCATTTGACAAACAATATTTTCATCATCCTCATCATCATCACCTCAAAACAATAAACACATGTGTGTGTGTGTATGCATATAATGTAACAGTTAGTTTCCATTTTCTGCTCTGTTTACTGATTGATTGATTGATTGATTCGAAAGCAGTTATTTGTACAGAGAGGTAGTGTAGTACGTAAGTAGATTATTCGCTACACCAATGATTGAATTTCTGTGTTTTTGGACGAGATACTGGCCAAACAAAATCAGATGATTTTCATCAGAGGTTCTCACCAGTTTCCCAGCGTTTGACCTCCAAGTTTAACCGACGAAGCAGTGGAGCAACGTAAAGTGAATGCAATGGTAGTTGGGGACCAAGAATACCTTCATACTCTATTTGTGTTCGTTCAAGATCCGGGAGTTTATGTGTACGATTATTGTGCGATCGAAATTTCGCAGATCCTCACCTATCAACCCAGTTTAGGCTGTATTGGACATTCGCTTTTCGTTATCCGAATTCGCCAAATAATACTCTGGTAATGAGAAGGCAGTGAGTAGGGTGTCCCTTGTGGTGGCTATACACACGTGGTCATATGAGAGCATTTGTAGAGAGGGAGAGCAGACTGTTCCCGCTCTCAAGCGTATCA